AAAAAAAAACCGGAGGAAAAAAAAAAAACGGTAACCTGGTTGCCGAGTTCACGAAGTGAATTGGCTTGTTTTACAACGTCGTTGCCAAGCGACGAAAACCCAACCCCGATAGCAAATACCGGGGGGGGCGGCTTGTTTTACAACGTCGTTGCCAAGCGACGAAAACCCAACCCCGATGGCAAACGCCGGGGGGGGGGGGGGGGGGGGGGATATATTGTTCAACCAACCTACGATACGTGTCGACGTACAGAGCATGATTCTGCGGTACTCCCGTCGTACAGAACATGATTCTGCGGTACTCCGGTCGTACAGAACATGATTCGTCACACCCCCGTCCCTCTAGCATGTGCCAACTGTCGACGATCTGTTTTTCAGCAAGAACAACACAGTCGTTGCTGGGAGGCTGCCGCTGTAGGGCGCGCACTTTGGGGCCCCTGACCTGTCTCCGTACAAAACGTTGGAGTACCAAATTTAATAACTTACTGTTAGAAGTGACATGCATGTAAGAAGTTCTTTTGAGCTTCCGTTCCTTGAACGTGCCAAATGCCTCGGATTGCCTCGATTGAAAAAAAAGCAGTCGATGCTGGGAAACTGGCTTGACACACCTGCGCCATGCCCATCCGCAACAAACCTCAAACAACCCACCCCAACCCTAACCTTAACCCTTTGCGTCCATGTCGAATCGAACCGACGAAACAAAAAAAACGCAGTCGATACTGGGAGACTGGCATACGTGCGCCATGCCCATCAGACCGCCCCCGAGGTGGAGGGTCGAAGAACGCGCGGAGTGGGACGCGTGGGTTTCCAGTGAGGTCAGTGTGTGGCGGCGTGTGTGCCGTGCTTGCATGTATGCTGCTGTACGGTGCAGGGAGAGGTCTGTTTGTCCACGGGTTTGCTTTGCTGTTGAGCTCCGTAATTCTAGGCATGTCTTGGCGGGAGGAGACGGCGTCTGGACTTGATCATTCAGAAGCATTCGCAAACAAGCTCGCTCTGGTAGTTCACGGACGCGTGGGTTTCTAGTGAGGTCAGTATTGGCGGGTGTTGGCATTTGCCAAACGAATCCTTTCGTTCGATTGCTCACGCAAGAAATTGGCTGGGCTGGGCGTGCACTACAAGGGTTGCTGCTGCTGCCACGGGGGCGACACGCGGAACGAGCAGTAGGACACACCTCCAAACTTTGCGCCGACACTGTTGAGAGTCGGTCATTTTCCTCTCCTTTTTTTTTTTTTCCTTTTGTTCGTACGAGAACACGATCACTTCATCTCTTTCTACACAGGCTGTGAGAGTCCGGAATCGATTCTGTTTTTCATTCAAGGTTTACGGCATTGGTTTCTCACCCACCCACCCCCCCTGCTGCGCGTTTTTTTTTATGTCAGGGTGTCACCAAGACCGAGGCGATGCGCATATTCACGGCTGCCGTGGACGAGCTCTACCGCAGAAAGCACGGTGAGTAAGCAAGCACCCAGGGCGGCGGTAAGTTAGGGATCCAGAGAGGGGCGGGGGAGGGGGGGTGTACTCATAGTCGTGCATG